GGTTACAAAAAGAAGACCTTTCAGTTTGATCTTTCCCCTTGGTCCTTCCTCAATGGAAATGCCAAAATATTGAGATTTAATTGAGTAAAAGGTCACGGGAAGATAGGGACTAAGGAAGTGACCTTTGTCTTGAACACTAGAAGGTTGACTGTGTTTTCTGTGGACAGATTTGTGATACTTTACACATTTGCAGCTGAAAAAAAATTAGGTAGTAAAATTGATTCAGTTATTTCGTACGTCTGAAATATTTGTAGAGTACTGTTGTAGAGATTCCAGACTAGTAGGAAGTAACTACTTTTCGGTCTTTGATTTCTAAGAGATTTTTGTTTTTCATTCTAAGCTTTTCCATTTGCCAGTCCCATGGGTTTGGGCAAATTATTTTACTTCTTTAAGATTCTATTTTCTCACCTGTAAAATGGAATTGATAACACAGTTCCCTGCTGCTCCTGTGAGAATTAAATGAGTCAGTGTGTGGTAGGGCATTTTGTGGAGGAGGGTACATGCCATGACATGTGAGCAGCTTAATCATATCTTTAACTTAATCCCTAAGATAATAATGTTAACATCAACTAATGTTTGCCTGTTTCTCTGCCAGGCTCTGGCCCAACCACTTCACACGTACCTCCTTTACACCCCACAGTCCTTGCAGAGCCCCTCTGAGACAGGCACCTCCTGTAGGCCCAGCTAGTTCTCAGTGTTAAATCCTCCTCCTCACGTATCACACTTTGTAAAGATCTGAAACCTGCAAACACTGTCTTCCTCCAGACCATCTGTTACTATCTTAAAACGTAAGGAACTAATGTTCTGAAAGAGAAGTAGGGGAGAATGGTAGTGATGGAAGACTGACCTCCTCCAAGCTTAGATCTGAGAGTTTGGTGAAAATTTAGCAGTAGTACCTGCTAGGGAAGGGTTTTGTGGTGGTCTAGTGGGTTTCAGAATTCCCTCCTTCAGCAGAGATTTTGTTCCTGCCTGCTGCATTTAAGGCCCTGTCCTGTGCTGTGGGAATGCCACAGTCAACATAATAGTCAATCTGTCCTCATGGAGGTGACAGTTCAGAGTGAATATCTAGTCTTCCATAGTCTCTGGCAAAACAAAAAAATAGAGGTGGTAAAGAATGTACCTCATTGGCTTTGTACTAGCATCCTTTGTATCCACTTATTAAAATTACTGCTTATTCACATTTACCTACACATACACATGTATATACTGACACAAAATCAATAAGTAGAAATAAAAAACTGAATAGTAAGCATACAACTTTATATTTTCTTTCACAAATGAAAACCAAAAGAGAAAAAAAAAAAGGAAAGAGAAAGATGGGACTTAATTTTTAGAATAAGGGGTATGTTTTTATGTGGCTTTGTATTTTTAATGTCTACTAGGAAAGTGCATTCAACTGTGCTACAAATTAGTCATTCTAGTTGTATGAAACATGGAAAATTACCACAGTAATTTCCACTGACCTCTTCTATGTTAAACCATGTAAATACTTTTTTTCAACTGTGAAGCTGATTTGACTTACTAAGAGTTTAGATTAGTAATGTATGAGCTGAATTGAAAACCAGATTACAAACCATTTCAGCATGACATTTGGATAAAATATAAAGATAATCTGAGTTTATTTATGATGTTCTTTCAGGGAAGTTCATGAGAATTAGCTTGCTCATGACAGTTGTAATAATCATCATTTTTGACCAAATTAGACATACTGTATTTCTACATGAGGAAAATCAGCTTGATATTTGATACCCTATTTCAATCTTTAGCTGAAACCAAGGAGGGCAAAAAAAGTATTACTATTATTTTCTAAACAGAGTAGTTTCTGTTCAAATATGGTATAACCTAGGAAATGCCATAACCATGGACGTTGTAGAGCAGTCGCTCACAAGCCCAGCTGCATGCTACCAATACCTGGGGAGCTTTTTGAAAAATTCTGATATGAGTCTCAACCCAGACATATCAAATCTGAGCCTCTGGGAATGGAGGTCAGGTGTCAGTATTTGCTCAAAACTACCCCCCCCCCCAGGTGATCCTAATGTCCAGTCAAGGCTGAGGATCACATGATAAGGGGGTGGGCTCAAGAGCAAGGAGGTTAAGGGGTAGCTCTGGAGAGGCCCCGTGGGTGAGTGAAGTGGAGGTCTGACCTTTCAGTCAAGATTCAGTAACCACTACAGAAGGAAAGGGGAAAGTTGCAAGCAATTAAGAAAAGACCCACATCAGTAGTGGGGATTTATAGTCTGTTCTGCGAACTGATGCTCTCTTGTAATCAGTGCTGGAAAGTACCTTTTTGGTGCTGTTGGGTACTGCTCGGTGGCAGTAGCAGAGTTAAGAAGTGGAAAGAAGAAACCTATACAAGTGGGAGTCTGTGTGTCTGTTCACTTATTAGGTTTATCGATGTGTGTGACCCTAAGTGTGAGACTGAGCAATGATGGCATTAGGGTGTCACCTGGTGGAGCTAAAACTGAAACAAAGGATGCAATGGGGCATAATCTGCGGACCCAGAGACCAGTTTAATAACATAAGAGTTTCTCTAGTCTTCATTTTAAAATTTACAAATAAGAGAGCTCAGCTAAGAAACAGACAACAGTTCACTATTTTTTGTGTATGCATAAGAACTTTTGGGCCATTTTCATCAGTTTACGTGGTATTTGGTGGTTCTGAACTATTGTATATTTTTAAACATTGAGGTGGCATCTCTAGAACAGTACATTTGATTCTGAATATTGGCTGTAATCTTAATGAGTGTCCATTTAACTATACCACATTTTAGCAGAGATAACGTGTAACTTGTGACCTCTGTTCTCTCCTGTCCTTAATTTTCTTCCTGCACAATAGCTTGAGGGTTGACTGTAATTTTAGAAAGTATTTCCAGAGAAGATTCTTTATTGAAGTGTCTTTTGGGATAAATAATAATAACTTCCAGTCCAGGTAGACAAATCCACTTATCATCTGTTTTTGACGTTAGTTTAAAAAAAAAAAGCAACTGGCAATTTTAGTAAAAACTCAAACTGAAATTTGCATCACAGTGGAAATTTTAAATTTCTGTCTCATTCTTTCACCTTCTTTAAATTATGTTGGCATCATGTATCCGCAATAACAACTTTCTGTGTTAGATCTAAACCACTCCATCCTACAATACAAGTGTCTTTTTCTCTCTCCTTACCTCTCCCTTATTATCCCTTCCTTTTTTTTTTTTAAATTAACTTTAATACAGAGACCTTACACTTCCACCTGGACCATCTTTGATTAAAATTTGGGCTGCAGCAAGATTCCTTTCCCATTCCACGTAAGCATTGCTTTTCAACCCCAACATGCTTTTTCCAGACCCATCCTTAGTCATCTTCCTCTCAGTCTCGAGCCCTAAGCAGGCACTACCAATAGATGGGAGTTGACGTTATTATTCTGCAAAAAAAACTGGCCAAGAAAAGATTATCCACATGCCATGGTAACAGTGTTCCAGATTGTGAGAGTCACTTGGGGTAGTCAGGGCCTCACTTGGACCTGCTAAATCAACACGCAGAGAAGGGGTGAGGAAACTTTCTTCAGTTCTGCTGTGTTGAAGTGTTTGTTTGTCCTGAACAACATTTTAGAGAACAACTAAATGTATAAAATGTGTACACAAACATCTTTCCACACTCCTTAAACAAAATCTCTCTTACCTGGGAGACTTACTGCAAATAATTCACTTTCATACTAACCTCATGGATGTAGGTATTCTGAGTTTGCCCAGGGAGCTTTATGTAGGGGTCACAGTTATAGGAGGTGACCAAGCTCATAATGATTTTGAGGGATAGTCCCTATAAATGTATGAAAACTTGGTACCAAAATTAAGTAAACATACCCAAGTTCTATGTTCTTATCCAATCAAATTGGTGCAAATATATTTACCTGCCTTTGGAATTATGCTCAGGTAGAATGGAACTGTCACAGGGCAATTGAAGAGGGTGGAAATAGATAGCAAAAGGAATAGTAACATACCGCATCTCATTCTCCCCCAAAATCACTTAATTGAACTCACGCTTAATATAGGATCCCAGCTACAAAGCAAAGAAGTCACTTTAACACAATAAAAAAAAAAGTCACCGGGAAGATCATGTTTTCTTGTACAGTTTAGAAGTACTGTATTGCCCGTGTGTAATAGTTTTGGCTTTCTGGCTATGCATGCCTTTGTCAAAGTGCCTATTGAGGTTTTTCGTTTACTGAAATAATCCAGTTTTTCAAGTCTTTTTTTTTTCTTTGTTGAAAACATCACAGTCCACTAAGTGGTTTACATTTACACAGGGCAGTTTGTTTTAAATGCTAGGCATTATTAGTATGTCAATTACACAGGCCACCTTCCACCTGCTTAGTCATCACCTTCCAGCTTCAATAAACTGTGACTTAAGTGCTGAGGACCATAGTCCTTTTATTCTTGAAGTCTCAATACAGGAAACATTTGTAAAAAGTGCTCTGGTAAAGTTGCTTACATAAAGTTGCTAGATAAATGATCCAAACAGAGGTGCACATTGTTTGGCCAGCATTTCACAATGTGGTGGTACTCACATGGCCGATGCTGGATTGAACTGATCCTCCCCTCTCCTAGTTCTGTTGGTTAGCTACCTCCTGTGTGGGGTCATCCCCTCCTGGTGTTACCAGTCAGAGGGCATTTCCACAGACAAGAATCACCTGCGAGAGAACGAGTATCGCGTAATCACGGGGCAGCTAACAGTTTCCCCCACATATGCTGATTGGGGAGCAGGGAAAGAGGGCGTTCTACAGATGGCTGAGGGAAGAAACCTTGGGGCTAAGCCCTCGTGTTTGTTTTTCTCTGCTCTTGTAGGATAACATTGTTTTCGAGATGACTGATGATCAAATGGTTTTCAAATGCTGTAGGTAGCCCTCTTGGAGACCCCTGTGGAAAGACTTGTTTGGAAGAAAGAGACAATCAGTGGTTGGGGGTCACGCTTTCCAGACAGCCGGGAGAGAATGGATCCATCGTGGTAGGTTGTTGGATTCAGTCCACTGATAACATCGTGAAATCGCATATTCTGGGGGTGACCTCCACATAATTTGGTCTCCTTTTATGTTTTATTCAGACTTGTGGGCATAGATGGAAAAATATATTTTACATGAAGAATGAAAATAAGCTCCCCACGGGTGTTTGCTATGGCATGCCCTCCAATTTACGGACAGAATTGAGTAGAAGAATAGCTCCGTGCTATCAAGGTAAGGCATGGTGTGGGTACTGAGTGGATCAGGAGAAACAAGTGAATGGCTTTAAAAATGTTTTTTGAATTTTCAGTTTTGGATGGTCTGTCAGAGGTGGGGGATCTTTAAAATTTCTGTGTTCTTTTTAACTAAAGTATTATTTCCTTTCCTTTGTTAACCCAGTTGTAGTATTAATTTTCAAAAATGTCCTGTGGGTTTTTTGGACTAGGAATTCTACAGTTTTAATTTGAATAACTCTAGCATCTAGTTGATAATTTCCCACTTTAGCATTAAGTATATTTTTAATTCAGTATAAGTGAGCCTGATGCCCAGCAAATGTGGGACACTTAAAATCACAAAATTAGATTGAAAAATCTGATCAGAAGGAAGAAAGCTGTTTAAAGTTTCTTCCTTTACCTTTAGTTTCCAACGATAGTCAGACTCAAAGTATAAATATAAGCATATCTTTCTCAGTCTTTTTTTTTTTTCAAATTCACATGTTTTCCTTGAAACAGTAAGGGGTTGATATCTTAAGTTTGAAAGGTCTTTCCATAAATATTTTAGATCATAGGTAGCATTAGTGCATATAGAGCTAGGACATAAACTGAAATGAACAAAGTTAGAGGTGAATGTCAGCAGAGAAATAAAAAAATAACACCTGCAACAGAACTAAAATTCTAAAAATGCGCCTTTCAAAAGAATAAAATATATATGAATGCCAATTTCTAGTTTTCCTAACCAAAATGATTACCCCAGTGTCCAATGAAAATTTCCATCACTGGACAAAACTTGGACCAAGTATGCACATTGAGTTATTGATTCAATTAGTAATTAATTGAGGTCTTTCCTCCTTGGAATGTGATATAATAGAAAAGATTATGTCACCTATATTCCTAATTTGCCTTTGAATGCCAAGAAGTTAAAAGGTGAATTTTAACTTCTCGATTGTGGTTGAAACTTAGTCCAGCTACTCTTCTCTTTTTCGTAGTAGTTTATAGTTTACACTTTAAAATATTTCACAGTAGAGGGATCTCTCCCTGGCTGGTGGTAGATGCCCGAATGATCATTTGAGGTCTTGCAGTCTCTCCCTAATGCAGACCTGACCACCCTGAGTCATAATCTCTGGTCCAGATGAGGACTTTCCCCTCATGAACCTGGTTTCCTTTAAAATCAATTGTGCAGTGATAGGAATTAGCTGTATAGGCTGGAGGGAAGCTGTCAAAGCACAATCTAGTAGAGATGCAAGTTAAAGATACCTCAACTGCATGCCCCTCCCCACCTAGCTGGCCCTGGCCCGGGGCTTTTAATTGACCCACCAGGCGACTTCTGAAGTTCTAATGGTGTGAGATGATGCGCTTGACCACTTAATGCTCAGCAGCTTTTGTCTTGCCACTGGCCAGTTCCTTCACTAAATACTGGTGCCTACCTGGATGTAGATTTCAGTCCTCTACATTTTCTCATGTGTTCTCTGGGTGACTCTATCCAAGGGCTGATAATGTCCATGGATAACAATGTGCACTCACCCTCAAACTCCAAAAATTTTATATATATAATATATAATATATGTGTGTGTGTATGTATATAAACCTAACCACATTCTAGAAAAAAAAATCATGATGGCAGAAACCTAAGATACCTAAAATTATGGTAAATTTTTTAAACAAAGTATGTATGTATGTGTGTGTGTGTGTGTATATATATATCTCCAGAGAAGATATAAAAAGGAGTGAGAAATCATGACAGGGAGTGGTAATTATAAATGATGTAGCAATTTATTTAATATTTCTGGTTACCAAAGCCAAAACAAAGATATGGTCCCGATTGTTCTTTTCTTAGAGGTTTACTTATGTCAGTTCCTCAGGAAAAGCAAGCTTTGTGCCCATAGTAAGTTTCACAGAGCATCTGTGCATGCATGGGGACTTTGTGATAAGACACCCTCCATCTCCATACCCATCTTGACTCAGTCTGTTATTTTCAGCTGGGCAAAATCTAGGAAGCCTATTTTAAATGGAAACCTGGGCCAGAAGCCACAAATCTTACCTCTGTCTTGATACTCACCTGACAGTTTTTTGAGTGTAAGCTGCTTCCTATGAAAAAGAGGCAGAGTAGATATTTTTATTGCTATTTCATAGACATGGTTTGAGGGTTAATATAGAAGAGATTTGTGATCTTAAATTTTATCAATTACTATTTTTTAAAATGTTACTCCAAAATGTAGACCTTTAAAGGTAAATTTATAAGGATTTATAAGAAACAAAATGATACAGATTTTGTCTTTATTTTTAAATAAAATCTTGAATTATTTTTTCTACTTTTTTTTAGATTATGTAAAAAATTTGGAGAAAATTATGGATCATGTCAAGCTGGGATATCTAGTTTTTACACAGAGGTAATAGTCCAAAAAATAGCTGCTATGAATGTTTACAAATAGTTTTAATTCTACTGAAAACTCAGAAGATTGATATTAAGCTTGAAGTAAAAATTATGTAATACCTGAATAATACATCTCTTAAATTTGACTGTATTACAACTTAATTTTCATCACTCAGTATTCCACACATATATTGGGGAAATATTAATATTTAGATGACTGTGACTCCCAGAACCAACTGTCTAAATGAAAGAATGTTCCTTTCATGAAGAATTTAATAGAAATGAAAAGTAGCTGTAGGTTAATTTAGGCATTGAAAATATTGTATTATTTTAAATGACTAGTTGAGGGGCAAAGAAAGCATGTGAGTCCACATTTTTCATTAGAAAGTATGACAGTTGGGAGATTTAAGAACTTAATATTACCCTGTTAAATCAGATAATTCCCAAACTCTTATTCTCCAACACAACTGCCATGTACAGTTGTCCTCAACTCCCACATCTCCCAGTTTCTCTTAGAAACCCATTATGAATGTATGAATGTTTTCTAAATCTATGTAGACAGTCTGTATCAAGCCTTGACTTAACAATTTCCAAAAATAGTACCTACTATGTTAAAAAAATAATAATAATGCTTCTTTCTTACTTTATATTTAAAAGGACCTTTTTTTTTTTAAGTTTGGATTGTTTGGGAAATACAGAAATGTTGAATAGGTCTAATCGCTGAAAGGTTTCATATTTCACCAGAGAAGTAAGCGTTTGCTCATTCCAACTTTCCCTCTTTCTTTTTTCTAAATTCCTACATTTGTCATCAAATATGCCCCAATCCATTTGACTTAGTTTTTTCTAAGTTAACATTATTAAGGAAACTAGTCATTGCCTTTTTGCAAATTGAAGTAAATTAAGTCCATTTTTAACTCTCGGTCAACACATGATCATCTCTGGAATGAGCACTAATGAATTACTCAGATATGATTTACTTAAATGGAAACCACATTGCCTTTTTTTTTCCCAAAGCTTGCTCTAGTGTTCAGTGATTCTACCTTTGATTTTTAAAGTCCACTGATAGTGTGAAGTGAGAGTTTCAGAGTTTCTCCTCTGAAATTCTACTTTTAGGTGAAAATCCATTAGCTGGCTTTTCTGGCTTTTTTTTTTTTTTGACAGTTTTTTTAAACTCATAAAAGGCTCATATTTCAGAAATCTATAAAAATGTGTTTTTGTCACTGTTTACTTAAAGTGTATATTTGGAGGAAGTTTTGGGTAGTGAGATTAAACTTTGAAATGATGATTTTCTTTTTTCCTTACAGGATTTAATTGTAATGGGGGCCCCAGGGTCATCTTATTGGACTGGCTCTCTTTTTGTCTACAATATGACTACAAATAAGTACAAGGCTTTTTTAGACAGAGAAGACCAAGTGAAAATTGGAAGTTATTTAGGTACGATGAAAATTGACAAAGTTGATTATCTTTGCCTGACATATACTAATAATTATAAATAAGGGAAATTGTACCTTCAAAAGAGCAAAATGGCCATTTCAGAAACTGCCTCTTTAAGGATCTAGTCTATGAAACTTTAGTTAACTCAATATTTAACATATGTAACTATTATCGACACATAATTCTTTGATTAGAACTCCTGGTTTAGTTTACTCTTTGTAGTAAGTCACGTATAAGCTTGTATCTTTAC